AATTTTAGGGGGTAAATACCAGCTGCGAAAGAAAAATAAAGGAAATGTTTACGCTAGAAAAAGTTTAAAAGTCAAGTAAATAAAAAATTTTTAAATAAAATATAGAAAAAAAAAAACAGAAAATGGGATTTTCTATAAAAAATACTTTCAAGAATTCGCATCAAGAAAAGTCCCCATAAAACTAATTACATAAAAAACTCTTTAAAAAATCATAAATAAAGAAAATAGTCCCGTTTTTGCAATGAGAAAATCTACAAAAATTATCTTAACAACAAAAATCCCTACTATTAAATTTAAAAAAAAAACATTAAAATTAATCAATAATATTCAGCTTTTATTCAAATTCATTTCAACATATTTCTCAGTTTTTAGATATTTTTAAATGTTGTCTTTTGAAATCCTTTTAAATTTTAGAAACATTCTTTACACATAAAATGTTATAGAATTTTTAACAACTTTACTGTTTAATTAATATCAATCATACGTACTGGAGATTTTCAAATGAATAAACAAGTTTAAATAGACGCAATTTCTTCAATAATAAAACTGTACGTGTTATTATTTACCAAACTGTAAACTATATTAAAGACTAGACTATAGACTAGATTATAGACTGGACTATAGACTAGACTATAGACTCGACTACAGACTAGACTATAGACTAGACTATAGACTTGACTATAAACTCGACTATAGACTAGACTATAAACTAGACTATAGACTAGACTATAGACTAGACTATAGACTAGACTATAGACTAGACTATAAACTAGACTATAGACTAGACTATAGACTAGACTATAGACTAGACTATAGACTAGACTATAGACTAGACTATAGACTAGACTATAGACTAGACTATAGACTAGACTATAGACTAGACTATAGACTAGACTATAGACTAGACTATAGACTAGACTATAGACTAGACTATAGACTAGACTATAGACATAGACTAGACTATAGACTAGACTATAGACTAGACTATAGACTAGACTATAGACTAGACTATAGACTAGACTATAGACTAGACTATAGATAGACATAGACTAGACTATAGACTAGACTATAGAGACTAGACTATAGACTAGACTATAGACTAGACTATAGACTAACTATAGACTAGACTATAGACTAGACTATAGACTAGACTATAGACTAGACTATAGACTAGACTATAAGACTAGACTATAGACTAGACTATAGACTAGACTATAGACTAGACTATAGACTAGACTATAGACTAGACTATAGACTAGACTATAGACTAGACTATAGACTAGACTATAGACTAGACTATAGACTAGACTATAGACTAGACTATAGACTAGACTATAGACTAGACTATAGACTAGACTATAGACTAGACTATAGACTAGAATAGACTAGACTATAGACTAGACTATAGACTAGACTATAGACTAGACTATAGACTAGACTATAGACTAGACTATAGACTAGACTATAGACTAGACTATAGACTAGACTATAGACTAGACTATAGACTAGACTATAGACTAGACTATAGACTAGACTATAGACTAGACTATAGACTAGACTATAGACTAGACTATAGACTAGACTATAGACTAGACTATAGACTAGACTATAGACTAGACTATAGACTAGACTATAGACTAGACTATAGACTAGACTATAGACTAGACTATAGACTAGACTATAGACTAGACTATAGACTAGACTATAGACTAGACTATAGACTAGACTATAGACTAGACTATAGACTAGACTATAGACTAGACTATAGACTAGACTATAGACTAGACTATAGACTAGACTATAGACTAGACTATAGACTAGACTATAGACTAGACTATAGACTAGACTATAGACTAGACTATAGACTAGACTATAGACTATAGACTAGACTAGACTAGACTAGACTATAGACTAGACTATAGACTTGACTATAGACTAAACCATAGACTAGATCATAGACTAGACCATAGACAATAGACTAGACTGTAAATTAATCGATAGCTGTTCGGTACAGTTGTAGTATTGTCTGTGGAGTAGTCCTTCATTTGAACATTTTTATCATTTTCCTTTAAATTGCTTTTTCTTTAAAATGTATTTATTGTTTCCTGCTCTCTTTCCTTTTTTGACCCCTAAAAATATGTACTTTATTTTCCATTATTTTTAAAGGAGTTTTTTTTACCGTTACCAACTTTATCATAATCTATACATTTACACCTCTTAAAAAGTCATTTGCATTTACTGGTAACGGTTACCAAAAATATGTAAAATCCTTTGAATACAAATGTTTTTAAATCCTTAGAAATTACCAACAACAAATGGAAAAGAATTGCAAATAAAAAGTAATACAAAAATTATACCAGAAAAATCAAAAGCGTTAAATGCAATTTTTTTGTAGTAAAAATCGTAAAGTTTTTAATAAACAACGACTTTAAAATGATTTACAGCAACAGGATATAAAGACGCCATGTTGGAATTTTAAATATCACTATAATGACTTCCTCTCTAACACTTTGTTATTGTAGGTAAATTATAATAATAATGAAGCTAATTAGGGAAGTAATAACAAAAACATTTAGAAGTCAAAGTTTTGTTTAAGAAGTAATTAAAGAGAAAGGGAGAGAGCACTACTTAGTGTGCGTGTGTGTTTGTTTACCTTTTGTAACGAGAGAATAACGTTAATATGGCGACAAAGGTATTTGATGCTAAGTTTTTTTGGAGGATAACTTACATATACATATAAATCATGCATGAATATCGAATGTATGTTCTAGATAGTTGAATCAATTAAAGGATTGGGAAGAGGGTGGTGGGGTGGCAGGTGTGTTGGTAGTGAGTATGTTGTTTGTTTACAATTTGAAAGGAGCTTTCTGTTAATATGATGGCAAAGTTAAAGATGAAAGTGTAATCGATTTGTGGAAGTAAATAAAGCGATAATTTCAAAGATATGTGTATGTAATTATAAAGTAAACGTAAATGTTTTACATAATTGAGAGTAAGGTAAACAATGTAGAAAAGGTAATAAATAAAAAAAAACCTACATGCAAAGATAATTTAAAGTGTTTGGAATCAATAATAATCAAGGTTCCTTAAGCAAAAGTTCCAGTTTCGGAAGATAATTTAATAAAATTTATTTTCAAATGTTACCTATCTATCAACTAACTTTTTACACCACCTTGGACTTTAGTTCGAAAAGAAAAATACAAATAAATTTACAAAAAATCCCTTTACAAAATTCAAGCATTGCGGCTTTTTTCTTTGGGTGGAGGTTATGGACAATGGCCAAAAGGTGTTTTGAAAGTAATATATTCACAATTAAAATGTTTTTTTTTTTTTTTTTGACAAAAACTTGTTAAGGTCACTAAATTTATTGGAATATCTGGTTTATCTTTATTTAACATTGTTGATATGAGAAGTAAAAGCTTTTTTTAAAGAAAAATATTATTTCTAAAGACTACTTTAATAATTTATTTATAAATTTATAAATCGAATTTTTATCTAATTAAATAAAATTTTCTATTTTTTTCAGACTAATTTATCCATGGATTATCGCTTTGTGTACGAGCTGGACATGTCAGTAAGTAAAATTTTAAAAGCTTATCTTCTAATCTACTACCTAAGCAATAACCCTTAGTTACAAAAACTTAATCAAAATAATTTAGGATTTAAAACAAAACTATAGTCTTATTTGGCTGTTTATGCACTGGTTATCACAGTAAAAAAGACCAGAAAAATCTTGTCTTATATATTCTATAGTCTAGTCTATAGTCTAGTCTATAGTCTAGTCTATAGTCTAGTCTATAGTCTAGTCTATAGTCCAGTCTATAGTCTAGGACTATAGTCTAGTCTATAGTCTAGTCTATAGTCTAGTCAGTAGTAGTCTAGTCTATAGTCTAGTCTATAGTCTAGTCTATAGTCTAGTCTATAGTCTAGTCTATAGTCTAGTCTATAGTCTAGTCTATAGTCTAGTCTATAGTCTAGTCTATAGTCTAGTCTATAGTCTAGTCTATAGTCTAGTCTATAGTCTAGTCTATAGTCTAGTCTATAGTCTAGTCTATAGTCTAGTCTATAGTATATTCTATAGTCTAGTCTATAGTCTAGTCTATAGTATATTCTATAGTCTAGTCTATAGTCTAGTCTATAGTCTAGTCTATAGTCTAGTCTATAGTCTAGTCTATAGTCTAGTCTATAGTCTAGTCTATAGTCTAGTCTATAGTCTAGTCTATAGTCTAGTCTATAGTCTAGTCTATAGTCTAGTCTATAGTAGTCTATAGTCTAGTCTATAGTCTAGTCTATAGTCTAGTCTATAGTCTAGTCTATAGTCTAGTCTATAGTCTAGTCTATAGTCTAGTCTATAGTCTAGTCTATAGTCTAGTCTATAGTCTAGTCTATAGTCTAGTCTATAGTCTAGTCTAGTCTAGTCTATAGTCTAGTCTAGTCTAGTCTAGTCTATAGTCTAGTCTATAGTCTAGTCTATAGTCTAGTCTATAGTCTAGTCTATAGTCTAGTCTATAGTCTAGTCTATAGTCTAGTCTATAGTCTAGTCAATAGTAGTCTAGTCTATAGTCTAGTCTATAGTCTAGTCTATAGTCTAGTCTATAGTCTAGTCTATAGTCTAGTCTATAGTCTAGTCTATAGTCTAGTCTATAGTCTAGTCTATAGTCTAGTCTATAGTCTAGTCTATAGTCTAGTCTATAGTGTAGTCTATAGTCTAGTCTATAGTCTAGTCTTTAGTCTAGTCTATAGTCTAGACTATTAGTCAATAGTCTACTCTATTCCATAGTCTATAGTCGACTGTCCAGTCTATTGTCTAATTTATAGCCTAGTCTATAGTTATTCACTTAGGTGCTTAATTTAAACAACTTTTCGATTTTTTTAACGCGTGCTTTAATGTGCTTTTTAAAATCTTTAATACTACTAAAGTGCTACAAAAATCTGGGTGCCTATTAATATTTTCAATATCCAATAACTTTTTGGAAAATCTTTTAAGACTTCCTTCGCCTTCACTCATATTCCGTTATATCTCCCCAATCGCGGTTTTTGTATTTTTTATCAAATTTATACCACACAATTTCCAGCATCATTAAGATCAATACCAATATATAAGCCACTACCAGCATAATAAACAAGGGTGCAGTGTATTCCAAACCCACTTGAACCAAAAAACTGCTCGATAAATAACAATTCAATCTTCTCTTCACCCACTGGCGGTAATAGCGTCTATAGACACCCGATTCCATAATGCGCATCTGTCTGCAAATATAGACTATTCAAATAAGATTCCTATCTAGTTAAATCTAGTTTGTATACTTTAATTTGACAATTTCCCTGTACGAAGAGTTCCTGGGCAAATGCTGGTACAAAGGCTGTTCCGGTCTGAAGGGTATTTCATTGAGATCACAAATTTCTTCGCCTGTATAGGAATTTTCTATTAAACCATAACCGGAAAAAGCATCTATAACAAAAACATAACCGGGTTCTTTACGCACTCTTTGCAGTCCTTTTTCGACGCTCATCCAAACGCTATTGGGATTGGACTTGGAATCGATTTTATTGTGTACAAATCTTTTAATTTCGGGTAAAGTTGAGAACTGGGGAACAGAATTAATGTAGAAGTTGTCAATACAAGATGTTTGCCACTTACATTCAAATACGACTTAGTGTAGGGTATAGGTTCCAGGCCCACCTCCAAATTACTATCGGCCAACTGAGCCACCGTCTTTATGTTCGATTTAACCGGGGAACCCAATAGTATAGCCACCACTATGGAGGTATAATAATTATATATAATAAAAGTCAATAAGGACAAAGTTATGAAAGCTATGCGTCCACCCATGGAACTGGGTATTAGAAAACTACCCTGATAACAGGCGGAACCAAACGAAATCAAACAGGTGGTGAGCAATGAGGGCACAAAACCCAACACAGCCTTCATTTGATGATATTCGACAAAAAATGTCAACCACAATAGAAAAGCAATTAATATAAGCATGGCACCAAATAAGACCCATACCCGCAAAGAAAAGGGTTCAAGGAATACGGCGCTCTGTATGCCAGCATTAAGGGGCGTACGAAAAATGCAAACATGACGAAAAGTACCTAATTCCATGATGGCCTGTACATACTTGAAACGATTTTTAGTGGCTAGAAAAGGCGATGAAGCGAGATCGGCCGAGTTCTCTATACCTATAGCACCAATGCAACCACCATTGACCTCCGTACGACTCCAAGCACTGGTGAAATTGTAACGAAAGCTGAAAAGAGTTTAAACAATTGATTTTTGAATTGCAGTTAATATTCTCCAGATTTCTCTTCTTACTCGCATTCCAGATTTTCTTTCAAAATCATCAAGTATTGAAAACCAAATTTGGCTATGCCATCAATATGTTTATCTTTAGTGGAACTTAAATGAGCCAAAAGTTCATTTTGCGGGGCCGTTAAGGGAATGGCGGTGACCTTTATTTTTTTAAATAAATTCGATATTAATATATAATTTCAATATCAAAATTATACCCACCACTGTAGATACTCTCATGGTAAGATCTCTTAAATACCAACGATGTTCATACTTGGATCTTTGATATAAAGAGGATAAATATTGTTTCACAAGACATTGCTCTCGAGAGCACATTAACTCTCGATCTAGGGTCACATTCAATTTGCCCCCCAAAGAATAACCATTATTATAAACATCATATAAAATATAAGAAGAATTTTTAGCAGTATTTAAAAATCTCGCATTAGGCTGGACCAGAGTAACATCAGCATCTACCGATAAATGGAAATGTTTAAAAAGATCCCTAAAATTGTCTAAATCCCCCGATGAATCATAAATTAGCCAATGGAATTGATGTTTAAATAATTTTTCCTTGCTGGCCTAAAATAACGGCAAAATATCTAGAAACTATTTCTTAAGTTCAAAAATCGTTTACCTTTCGCAATATATCCTCCGATTTCAAACAATTCATATCAAAATAAATGGCCACATGAGGATTTTCATGCGATAAAATACGTCCCTCTAAATCGCCTTCCAATTTTAGCTGATTTATGGGCCACATTTGTATAAATAAATTATCATTCATGGCCCGGCTGGAGAAGTGGAATTGGGCTGCAAAAGATTTTTTTGAATTTCTTATTACATAATCAAAAAAAATTACTGACTTTCCAGATCCCAACAGTGCAAAACAAACAACCATTTTATATGGTTCTGCAGAAAATTATATAAAATCAGATTAATTAAAGGAAAATTAACCATTTTTGAAAATTTAGAAAAAGGTAGAAATAATTAAGAAGGAATGTTTAGCAAAAGAAGAATTTTAAATTTTGTTTCTGTTTATTTTTCAACCGAATTTTCCGTTTTGTTGTTGGTTATTGAAATAAAATTTATATTTTAACTAATGTAAAAGTTAAATGAATGTAGGAAGGACCATGTATTGTTTTCTTACTGTCATCAATTACTAAGTTTAATTAAATTGTGAACATATCAATATTTGTTTAATTTTGACAGTTTGATGACAAGTTAAATAAACAAATAATTATGAATTTGCAATACTACATTGAACCAAAAAGTATCTTCAGGAACGAAAAAGGTACTTTAATAGAGAAAATGTACCAAAAGAACCGAACTGATACATAGATTGGTAGATAGATAGATAGATAGATAGATAGATAGATAGATAGATAGATAGATAGATAGATAGATAGATAGATAGATAGATAGATAGATAGATAGATAGATAGATAGATAGATAGATAGATAGATAGATAGATAGATAGATAGATAGATAGATAGATAGATAGATAGATAGATAGATAGATAGATAGATAGATAGATAGATAGATAGATAGATAGATAGATAGATAGATAGATAGATAGATAGATAGATAGATAGATAGATAGATAGATAGATAGATAGATAGATAGATAGTAGATAGATAGATAGATAGAAGATAGATAGATAGATAGATAGATAGATAGATAGATAGATAGATAGATAGATAGATAGATAGATAGATGATAGATAGATAGATAGATAGATAGATAGAGATAGATAGATAGATAGATAGATAGATAGATAGATAGATAGATAGATAGATAGATAGATAGATAGATAGATAGATAGATAGATAGATAGATAGATAGATAGATAGATAGATAGATAGATAGATAGATAGATAGATAGATAGATAGATAGATAGATAGATAGGTAGATACATATGTATTTTGTTTAGTTAGTTAGTTAGTTAGTTAGTTAGTAGTTAGTAGTTAGTAGTTAGTTAGTTAGTGTTAGTTAGTAGTAGTTAGTTAGTTAGTTAGTTAGTTAGTTAGTTAGTTAGTTAGTTAGTTAGTTAGTTAGTTAGTTAGTTAGTTAGTAGTAGTTAGTTAGTTAGTTAGTTAGTTAGTTAGTTAGTTAGTTGTTAGTAGTTAGTTAGTTAGTTAGTTAGTTAGTTAGTTAGTTAGTTAGTTAGTTTAGTTAGTTAGTTAGTTCGTAGTTAGTTAGTTAGTTAGTTAGTTAGTTAGTTAGTTAGTTAGTTAGTTAGTTAGTTAGTTTCGTTAGTTCGTTAGTTAGTTAGTAGTTAGTTAGTTAGTTAGTTAGTTAGTAGTTAGTTAGTTAGTTAGTTAGTTAGTTAGTTAGTTAGTTAGTTAGTTAGTTAGTTAGTTAGTTAGTTAGTTCGTTAGTTATGTAGGTAGTTAGTTAGTTAGTTAGGTTAGTTAGTTAGTTATTTAGTTAGTTAGTTAGTTAGTTAGTTAGTTAGTTAGTTAGTTAGTTAGTTAGTAGTTAGTTAGTTAGTTAGTAGTTAGTTAGTTAGTTAGTTAGTTAGTTAGTTAGTAGTTAGTTAGTTAGTTAGTTAGTTAGTTTAGTTAGTTAGTTAGTTAGTTAGTTAGTTAGTTAGTTAGTTAGTTAGTAGTAGTTAGTTAGTTAGTTAGTTTAGTTAGTAGTTAGTTAGTTAGTAGTAGTTAGTTAGTTAGTTAGTTAGTTAGTTAGTTAGTTAGTTAGTAGTTAGTTAGTTAGTTAGTTAGTTAGTTAGTTAGTTAGTTAGTTAGTTAGTTAGTTAGTTAGTTAGTTAGTTAGTTAGTTAGTTAGTTAGTTAGTTAGGTTAGTTAGTTAGTTAGTTAGTTAGTTAGTTAGTTAGTTAGTTAGTTAGTTAGTTAGTTAGTTAGTTAGTTAGTTAGTTAGTTAGTTAGTAGTTAGTTAGTTAGTTAGTTAGTTAGTTAGTTAGTTAGTTAGTTAGTTAGTTAGTTAGTTAGTTAGTAGTTAGTTAGTTAGTTAGTTAGTAGTTAGTTAGTTAGTAGTTAGTTAGTTAGTTAGTTAGTTTAGTTAGTTAGTTAGTAGTAGTTAGTTCTTAGGTAGTAGTTAGTTTAGTCTATTCTATTCTAATATCTATTTCTATAAGTTGCTATGAATACTCCTCTTTATTTCTTTACGCACATTTATTTTTACTTTAGTCCTTTTTTTTTAAAAAATAGTTTTTTATACTTTTTCGCTAAATATATGGCTATTATTTAAAAATTATATTATTTATTTAACTTATAATCAAACTGTCAAATTTAAACAAATATTGGCATGTCAACAATTTCAATTTACTAAATAATTAATGTAAAATAAAAATAATATAGAAGTTACAATACACACCATGTCTATTTAACCTTCAATGTATTTAAAAACAACATTTAACTCAAAGAACAAACAAAAGCAAAAAATCGGTTTAAACAAAAATCAGTAGCCAAGTATAGGTACTACAAACATAGTACTTTTTTCCATGACTACTGTTTAAGTACCTTTTTTAAAAATTTTTCAAATGGTTAATTTTTCTTTGATTAGTGTAATTTTACATAATTTTTTGGAGAACCATATAAAATGGTTGTTTGTTTTGCACTGTTGGGATATGGAAAGTAAGTATATGATTACGTAATAAGCAGTTATTTATAACACTGTTTTTTTTCAGCCCAATTTCAGTTTTCCAGTCAGGCGATGAATGAAAATATATTTATACAAATGTGGCCCATAAATCAGCTAAAATTGAAGGTGATTTAGAGGGACGTATTTTATCGCTTGAAAATCCTCATGTGGCCATATATTTTGATATGAATTGCTTGAAATCGAGGGATATATTACGAAAGGTACATGACTTTTGAACTTAAATGAAAAAGGGTCTTTTTTAATAGTTTGTCGTGTGTTTTAGGCGAGCGAGGAAAAATTATTCAAGCTTCAGTTCCATTGGCTAATTTATGATTCTTCAATGGATTTAAAACAATTCAGACTTCTTTTCAAACATTTTAATATGTCAGTAGATGCCGATGTTACCTTGGTCCAGCCTAATGCGAGATTTTTAAATACTGCTAAAAATTCTTCTTACATTTTATATGATGTTTATAATAATGGTTACTCTTTGGGTGGAAAATTAAATGTGACCATAGATCGGGAGTTAATATGCTCTCGAGAGAAATGTGTTCTGAAACAATATTTATCAACTTTACATGAAAAATCCAAGTGTGAAAACCGTTGGTATTTGAGAGATATAACAATGAGGTTATCTACAGTGGTGGGTATAATTATAACAACTATAAAAAATTATACATTTTATTATGAATTTGTTTTCAAAAAAAAAAAGGTCACCGGCGTTCCCTTAACGGCCCCGCAAAATGAACTCTTGGACCATTTAAGTTCTACTAAAGATAAACATATTGACGCAGTAGCCAAGTACGGTTTTCAGTACATGATGATTTTAAAAGAGAATCTGGAATGCGAGTAAGAAAGAGAAATCCAACAAATATTAGTTGCCATTCAGAATCGCCACATTTATTTTTCTTAACAGCTTTCGTTACAATTTCACCAGTATATGGAGTCGTAACGAAATCAGTGGTGGTTGTATTGGTGCTATCGGTATAGATAACTCGGCCGATCTTGCTTCAGCGCCCTTCATTCCCACTACGAATCGTTTGGAGTACCTGCAACCCTTAATAGAATTAGGCACTTTTCGCCATGTTTGTATTTTTCGTACACCCCATAATGCTGGGATACAAGGTGCTGTAATTATCGAACCCTTTTCGGTAAACGTATGGATCTTATTCGGTGCCATGCTATTGTTAATAGCTATTCTATTGTGGTTGACATTTTCTGTGGAATTTCATCGAATGAAAAGCGTGTTGGGTTTTGTACCCTCATTCTAACCACATGTTTGATTTCATTAGGTTCGGCTTGCTATCAGGGTAGTTTCCTAATACCCGCATCCATGGGTGGACGCATAGCATTTATAACTTTGACTTTTTAACATTTATTATATATAATTATTATACTTCGGTAGTGGTGGCTAAACTATTGGGTTCTCCGCTTAAATCGAATATTAAGACGTTAACACAGTTGGCCGATAGTAGTTTGGAGGTGGGTCTGGAGCCTGCACCCTACACAAAGTCCTACTTGAATGTGAGTTGAAAAAATTTAATATATTTAGGTTTTTCATTAATTCTCTTCTCTAGTTTTCAACATTATCCGAAGTCAAAAGCTTTGCTCGCAATAAAATCGATTCCAAATATGATCCTGATAGTGTTTGGATGAATGTCGACGATGGGCTGCGACGCGTGCGTGAAGAACACGGCTTTGTTTATGTCATAGATGCTTTACCGGTTATGATTTAATAGAAAAATCCTATACAGCAGAAGAGATTTGTGATCTCAATGAAATACCTTTCAGACCCGAACAGCCTTGTACCAGATTTGCCGAAGAACTCTTCGTACGGGGAAATTATTAAA